TGCCTAATTAGAGGGTTCCTTAAAAGGGGGCAGCAACACAGGATTGTGAACCCTGCATGCATTAGTTTATACTACCGCCGAGGCCGTCCTAAACCTGTCTACAATGGTGAACCTGTGGTGCTTTAAACACGCGGAACACCTCAAACATAGCTTTTGTACTGTCTCGGTGGCCTTTGCGGGCCGGCCGCCCTCGACTTACGAACAAACTTCAATGTGTTAACATTTTTATTATGATTGATTGTTAATGTTACTTATTACTCTACTTACTGTTAATAACGTTATCGTTCTTATGTTTATTGATATGTTTCTAACCATTGCTGGTGATATGACTGTTGTCATTGACATCAGTCTTCTTCTTGGTGTTATTCTTAGTCGTAGTTTAAGTAGTATTCTTCTTATTGTAATTTTTGTTCGCTAGTACTGCAATGATTGTTGCAGGCTTTCAGGAACCGACACATTCCCGGCAGTTTTCCCAATCAAGTGGCCTTGAAACGGGTTCGCTGTTCAGACCAAACTACCTTGTTGTGAAGCGAATCCTTACTGTTTATGGCTTGGCAAAGGGCTCGTTTTCCCTACACCCGCGAATTCCGCATACCCCTGAGCCCCAACTTACCTTTGGTTAGTAGGGAATGGAGGAATGGGGTACAATAACTAATATTACTACCATATTACTATCATATTACTACCATATTACTACCATAATATAGCTACTATTACTACCATTCTTCCATTCCCTGCTAACCAAAGGGAAGCCAAAGCCTCTTGCAAATCAAGCCACGATTTCCTCATCCATGGGATCAGGGAGGTTGGCGGCTTCTTGCTGGTGCCGCGCGGCCTTAGGTGATTGAACCGGGACCGAAACCGAAAGGGTTCAAGACCCAGGGCCTCATGGCTTTGGTGCTTCAGAATGCACCCGCTCGCAAAGCTGGATGCTGGATTGGCAGGTCAAGACAGACAGAAAAGTGGTACGTAGGTTTGGAGGTCTGGGCTGTCCGGGCATACGATCAGCACGAAGCATAGCGAAAAGCATTTGGGCGTCAATGAATGATTCGGAAACAGCCGGAGCGAATCATGTCGAACAACCTGCAACAGGCCTGTCATTGCGCATCGTCAACTCTCTCACACACTCCGGCATGTGTGTCGTTAGTTGACGGAGGAAACACATACGGTATCGTGCCCAATCATTCAGCAGCGGCAACCTGAAGGTGTCGAGACGAGCAGCTTCTGAAAGTGGTCTGACTATGAATGCTCTTGAATGAAAGCTATGTCCCTACGGCGAGCCTAAGGGAAAGACCTGAATAGCCTCCTGATGCAAACACTAACCCCTCAAACCTGCACCCGCCTAACCTTCAGCCGCCCAAACATGGCCGAGGAACAGCCGGGGAAGCCTCCACTCTCTGGGTTTGCTGACTGTATCTCAGCACTACGCGAGCTTGAAGCAGCTGCAACTCCTCCGACGGAGAGGGCTTCGGCTTTGGGGAGGGGGGGGGAAAGGGGTTAAGGCTGTACCCAGAGAGCCCAATACCCCTTAATTAAGGAACATATCTTTAATCATTGGGGGCTTCATAGTATGATTTAAGCTATATGGGAGTTTCCGAAAAAAGGGAAGTTTCCGAAAAAGGGACCTTACTATGGTACCTAAATAGTAGGATCCTTATTATAAGGACCCCCAAATATGGTACCCCTGGTGGCCCCTATTTTCGGAAACTCCCATATTCCGTTTTTTAAGGGGTCTTGGGCCCTCTGGGTAGGTCCAGAAGGCTTCGGTCCTAGGCCCGGCGTATGGCTTAGGATTACTCAAAGGTCCGGAAGTAGTTAGTTCCTTTTTGGGGTTCATATTTAGAATTCTATAAGGTAATCCCAAAAAGGAACTATACTATAGGTATAGAATTCTAAATATGAACCCAAAAAGGAACCTTTTTTGGGTAGTTGTCAGAATTATGGCCCCTTTTTGGGTCCCCATTATAATACGGCACCTAAGATTTAGGGCACCCAAAAAGGGACCCTTATTTTGACAACCACCCATTTAGAATTCTATAAGGTATTTCCAGAAGAACTTCGATGAGGCCTATGGGTAAGGCGCGTACGTTTTACGTAGGACTTTGGCTTCGGATGAGGGGGGGGTGTAGCCCTGGGCAGAAGACCCACTTTCCTTGCATCCCCCGGAATCAGCACGACTGAATCAGGAGACAAAAACCACCTGCTGTTTTTGGTCTAGTCTAATCCCTGCGAATGGACAGTCTTCTGCTAGCAGCCTGGAAAGAGACGACCAGGCTGCGGTGGATAAAGCCCTAGGGTTTAAGCCCCTTGGGGCTTAGTACTCGGCGAAAGGTGCTCGACGCCTCTAGTCTACCGAACCCCCAGATCCTGCCCAAAAACCTGCGAGAACCTCAAACCGAACAGACCGACAAACCGAAATGAGAAAACCGCTTCAACCACAAACTCAATGCCTCTTGCACGGGCCCCAGCTTTAGATACAAGGCACAACAACAGACTCAAACCCTGAAACCCCAGAACCCTACGACCGCTTCATCAAGCTGAGATTGAGGCCAAAGCTCCTTCTTTAGGAACTCCTCAAAGCTTTGCTCCAAGGGCACTTCCTGAATTCTTCAGACTTTGCCGGGGGGTTGTGGGATGAGAGGGGAGGGGGGGAGGGCCTGATGCTTCGGTTGCGGGGAGTGGTGTCCTTCAGTTTAAATCTAACGCCGAAACATGTAAAAGTTAAGGAGCTTACCCGGGTCCAAAGGACCCAATAACAGCTAGTTGGGTTTAGGATAGTATCATGTAGCTCTATATTTAACTGGGTTGGCCTTTAAACACCATGAACAATATTTATATATAGGGTCCCTTATAAACCCAAATGCGGAAAATTAAAAATGTCCCAAAATCAATTTAGTTAAGAGTTTATTAGGTACTTGGACCCTTAGGGTGATGTGATGTTGCGCCTTTTCACCTGCACTTGACTGTACTGGGCCGAGTACCACCCCTCACTCCTCAACCTCCCAAGAGCTAGCACAAAGACCGCAGTGCCACCGCAGCAATAACGGAAGCAGTAATTCGGGGCAGAAGCAGAGATAGGAACCTGAAGGCTTTTTTATACAGGTACAAGCAAGCAAACAAACAGACGGACAACAGAGTCAAAACACACACACACACACACACAATAACACCGCACAACAATCAACCGTCCAACCAATCGACCGATCGACCGATCGACCAGTCGATCGATCAATGTGCCAGTCAGTCAGTCAGTCAATCAATCGATCAATCAATCAGTCAATCAGTCGATCAGTCGATCAGTCGATCAGTCAATCAGTCAATCAGTCAATCAATCAATCACTCAGTCAGTCCGTCAGTCAGTCAGACAGTCAGTCAGTCAGTCAATCAGATGGTTTAAAGTGCCCCCTGGGACCTCTTCAGCTTCGAAAAACCAGAAAATACATTAAATAAGGACTTCTTGGCCCCTGGGGCGACCCAATCAGATCCTACCTTTCGTCAAACCCCCGCCTGGCCCACCTGGTGCCAGGACGGGCTTGTCGCTCCGCTGGTTGCTCTGGTCAGGAGCACCAGCGGCTCCTCAGGGGCTCAGGAGGGAGGGGTTTTCAAGCGGGGGATATGAGGAGCTCTGAATTGGGATTGATATCTGTTTGGGTATTAGGTTTTACTTTCTACAGGGGTCATAAGGGTCTTCAAGGGTTGTTAGGCTGGGGGTTTTACAGCGATCATGTTACAGCCATAATCATACCTAAACCCCAAATTGAATTACGTACCTTTTTCGGGCTCCTTATTCTATTTTTCCTAAAATAAATCCTAAACCCTACACCCCAAAAAGGTAGATTTTCTCGGATCCAAGTAACTGGGTAATTCTGCTGAACCCCAAGGGTCTTACAAGGGTTTGGGTTTAGTTAGGGGTTTGGGGTTTGGAATTTAGGGTCTAAGTTTTATGACAGCGAGGGGTTTACTCAGATTTGTCAGGTGGTGTAGGGTTTATACGTGTGCGCAGTAGCTTTAAAACGGCTTTTGCAGGAGAGCCGGACAAGCTGTCTACCTATAGTCTCCATTCTAGTTTCTCTTAGGATGCTAGCTATAGACTTGGTTCCACCAAAAAGGAGCTACAACGGAGACTACCCATAGGACTCATAGTACTTCCTTTTTGGGATTACCCTGTAGGATTCTACATACGAACCCCCAAAAGGAACTACTTTGCGGCCTTTGGGTAAAGGTAACGGCTGATGATATAAATCCTGCATTGCCCATAATAAGAAATATACCATAGTTCCCATAGTTTAGGGTCCTTAAGCTGGGTCCGAGTTTGGGCTTGTACGAAAAATCTTTTCTGCAAAGGGTAATTTTCTGTTTGATACATAACACTTATATATATATATATACATATACATATACATATACACATCCAGCTGGAAGACGACTGTGGACTCAGATCGTCGTGGCAGTTTATCTCGTCATTTCCTGGTTCGATCTTGTGAGTCAGAGCCGACGCCTTATTTGAAGCCTCACTTACCCGGAAGCCCCCCTACACGCGAAGAAGACCCAGCTCTACAAGCCATCCTTCAACCAGATTGATATATACGATATATGCATATATGCATGCTTCGAGGGACCCCTAGTATTTCACGGAGTTATGAGCTCTGGCAACAACTAGTCTGTTCGACTGTTATAAGTAGCTTTGTTTTAAGCGGGCCGCCACATCGCAAACACTAGCACACATGCAGGGTCAGTCAAATTACTACTTCTTCCTTGAAGTTGGACCAAAGCATTGCCGACACTGATGGACGAAACCGCATCCCGGCCGCTGCTACCCGCCGGCGGGGACCCGCCAGCGGGTACCCGCCAGCGGGGACTGCCAGCGGGTACCCGCCAGCGGGTATCCGCCGGCGGGTGCCCGCCAACGAAACCCGCCAGTGGGTGCCCGCCGGCGGGTACCCGCCAACGAAGCCCGCAATGCTTTCAACAAAAGTAGGTCACATAGAAACATAATAAGCAAATATCTTAACTAGTACTAACTACGTGCTGTAAACATATAGTTACGTTGAATGTTTAATGACTAAAATATTACTACTATTACTATTATTATTATTATGGCAGCTGCTATACGGCGAATCCATTCTGTCCGGCGGGGACCCGCCAGCGGGTGCCCGCCGGCGGGTACCCGCCGGCGGGTACCCGCCGCCGGTGGTGGGAACCCGGCAGCGAGACGGTCAATCCTCTTGACAGAATTACGGTACACAAAACAGGATACAATGAACTCAACTAGTATAGACGTGCTGTAGATACAAAGCACGTAGAATAAGCAATAAGCGAATTATGGCATGCGCTCCATCGAGGGCCATGGCCCTTTGGCAGTAGACATCAGTCAATCATTGGAGTGTAGCTCACGCAGTGCTCGTGCGTGCCCACGCCTCACCACATCTTCAAAGATTGCCATCGTTTATGCCAATGCTTCGTTTCATATGCTCACGGACAAGCAGGCTATGAATTTCATGGGGCTCGGGGGCCTGTCCATCCCCAGGGAGTGTAGCAACAGCATGACAGACCTGCTCGGAAACGGGATGCATGTGGACTGCATTGGTCTGGCTGTCGGTCTGGCGGTGCCTCTTGTGTCCGGGCAACCGATTCCCAACGAAAGGAAGGTCTACGTCCGTGTTGTTCTTGAAATTTCAACCGACCACGGATCACGGTCACTCTGGATGCACCCGACCAGGTGATCAAGAGGAAGGCAACCGTCAAAGGAAAGGCCACACGCAAGAGGAATGTTACCAGAAGAAACCGAAAAAGAAGGAAGCCCGGGCAAGTCGCCCAAGAAGCCCCGCGCATCCCTGCCCATCAAGCGCTATCAGCAACTGTGGGAGGCTCGTGAGAACGCATGCACAGCTGATGTTATTGTTATGACACATTGTGCCCATCTTCGTTTTGGAGCTGCAGAAAGGGTTTCGACAAGGCTTGATCGCTGTCACGGTTCGGCTTCCAATACAGAACAGGATATCGATATCCTCGGGTGTATTGCGTAACCGCAGGCAATGACATAATACAGGTCTCTTCTTGTCCAAGAGTACAGGTGTAATAACAGTCGGCGTCCATACCTCTGCGCGACTCTGCTTTGTACTTGAACAGGGCATCTTATAGGGTGTCATATGAGTCCTACAAAGTATATATATATATATACAGTATACAAGAAGTATCACATGTAGGCGGTCTTCTATAAGGTATTGTACAGGGTGCTCCAGATGATGTGCTATAAGGTATTTAAGGTTGCGCCCCGGCGAGCCCCTCCCCCCTTTCCCCCAGTCATGGTATCGCCCCATGTACTATCATGTACTATGATATCTGCACTCCCCCGCTTGTGGAACCGGATATCCCTCCCTAGAAGGCGTTCTACAGGTGTTCTATAGGCTATACAGTATTCAACAAGGTACATATGTGGAATTTAGGATAGGGGTATCCTATACGATGTTACCGAGGGTAATTTATTCTTTACGAAATGCTATAAGGTTCGTAGAAGGTGTAATCTGTAAGGTCTTGTGTAGGCTATTCTCCGAGATTCTTGATTTCCTTGATAGAAATCCCTTACCCTGTAAGCTACAATCAAAATGGGGGAATATTCTCAAATCTTGGGCTTCTCTTGAGTTTGCTTATGTAAATCCTTATCTAAGGGGTGTTATATGGTTGGCATTCTGTAAGGTATTCCGGATGGTCTTGAATGAAGTTATATGGTATATAGGGGTGCTATACAAAGTATTCGGCAGCGTATCCTATTGGGCACTGTATAGGGTATTTCGCAAGGTGTTGCATAAGGTACCCTATAGGGTATGTAGAGGAAAGTATTCTAAGATGTAATCAAAAGGCCATAGGGTGTCCAATAAGGTATATATGAGGTATATGGGGGGGTGATTTATAGGGTATTACCTCGGGTACTCTATATGAATTGCTTTACTGTTTAAGGAGGGGTAGCTATTCTACAGGTTGTTCCCCTAGATTCCTGATTTCCTTCATAGAAGATCCTTACTCAGTAAACTACATTTCGGTTGGTGACTTCTCAGATCTTGGGCTCTTCTTGAATTTCTGTATATAAACCTCGTCTAAAGGGTAGTCTATAGGTCTGCGCGATGAAGGGTTTGGGCCACCCGATTCAGTTGAATCGACCCATTCGACTGAATCCAGGCCGCCACCCGATTCAGTTGAATCGACCCATTCGACTGAATCCAGGCCGGATTGAAGACTGAAGATTCTTGGAAGAAGTTGCTCAGGGACCTTCAATCTTCAATCTGAGCAGCGATTCAATTGAATCGGCCGATTCAACTGAATCGGCCCCCATATCAAACACCGCGAGTGAAAATGACTTGCATCGCATACCACAAGGGCATAATTGCATTAACACGGTTTACATATGGCTCCTAGCACTGCTCGTATAGATAGGGCTTGTCGGGCACAAGGGCTTATCGGGCACCTCTCCACCCCGGTACCAGCCTGAACCACTAGAAGTGTAGGCCTATAGTACTCGCAAATCAAAAAAGAAGGTAAGTACCGGAGGGGGGATACCATATGTATGTATATAGACAAAAAAATATAGAGATAGAGATAGAGATAGAGATAGAGAGAGAGGGAGAGAGAGATATATAGATTAGGCTTTATAAGGTTTCGGGTATAGCACGCCGGAAGACAAGCACTAAATCAAAAATCCCCGAAACACGAACCCAGTAAGGTAATGCAGGATTTATATCATCAACAACCCTAACCCCTAAACCCTAAACCCGCCTATAGATCCCTTAAAGGAGCCCTTTAAAGGTACCCTTATAGATCCCTTTAAGGGAACCCCAGGATTTGTATCATCAACCGTAAGTTCAAAAGTCTTGGCCCTGCGGAGGCCTCGTTTGTTGGAGGAGGCTGGCACTGGCAAGATGGCCCCGAAGCCATGGCAGTGCTTTACCCAAATCAAGGAGTTTTCCTTTGTACCCTTAGGGTTTGTACCCTTGGGTTTGGGTCCCTAAACCATGGAATATGGCCCTTAATAGGGGTATTTGGGACCCCAAACCTAGGGTTACAAACGATTAGGGTGCAAACTTAAAGTCTTTGACCAAAGGGTCCTATGTACCGATATAGTAGCTGCCCCCACCCTGTAATAGTGACTACAAGGATTATATTCGGGCCCTATTATATTCCTATCATACCACTATTACAGGGTGGGAGCAGCTTCTAACCGATATAGTAGAGTGTAGGGTTTCCATATAAGAAATTACTATTATGACTTCGGGAAGTATCCCCCAGAACAGTACATAGGACCCTTTGCTTTAGGGATCAGGTTTGGTTCAATCTGAGCCCTGTGGCAGCGAAGGGTTTAGGGTTTTAGGGTTTTAGGGTTGAGGGTGTTAGGGCTTAGGGTGTCAGGTTGTCGGATTTCTGAACCGTCCTGGAGGCAACCCTGCGAATATTGGCGAAGCATCAGGCTGTGTGTGCACTCAGGGCCTGTAGTTCAGCTTCGATAACTGCTTTGCTTCTGTTCGAGCTTGGCGTGAACTGCCGCATACCCTCCTACACTCGAAAGCGCTAGAGAAAGGATGCACGAAAACCAAGAGAGAACTGAAACCCGAGCGAATCAGACCCTTCATAAGGCTTTACGGTTTGCCGGGCAGAATAGCTGCTTGTAACCTGTAATGTAGGGGACTTAATAGCTAGGATAGGGCTATGAGGTAAATAGCACTAAACAAACTGCTAGCACCGGCCTCTTTGAGAGCGTTACTGTAGGGGCCATCCATGACTCTTAGATAACGTTAGACTAGGGTTTGGGTTATATTATAATGTAACTATAAAATTGTTGCAGAAGATTACGGCTACTAGTTATTTCGACCCCTAGTATCTCTAATAGCAGTTTCTGGGATGCAGAAGGCCCTTTCAGCTTGGGATACAGAGGGTTACGTGAAATTTGAGGCGTGCATGGTCTGGGCAGTCCCACCACACTGACATCCTTATGTATAATTTGTTTTCGCAAGCTATGAGCGGGGAGAGCGCAGGATCTTCGATCTCTGCAGCTGCCGCACGTGAGACTGCACGATCCATCATTGGGACGTGGCTAGAGTGCTTCGTCGGATATCGGCTGTGATGTTCGGTTCAGACGTCTAGCTAGTTCATCAGCCATTGCTTTGATTCCTAGGCAGTCTATAAACTCCACCTGATAACCGTGAAAAAAACGCTTGTTGTTCGAGATCCGACAAGGGGCCACTCTGAAATTCCAACGTTATACGGGCAGGTTCTGAAGCTCCTCTTGCTTTGCTCAAGGTTCAGGGCTCAGTTTGTCTGCATTCGACCCTGGGTGTGGAACTCTAAACAAGCTTCCTCCTGAGCCCCGGGACAGCCGGAATTGTAATAGGCAAGCCTGATGAGTGAGACCCCTGACTTTTGTGTTCAGGGTCCATCTGGGGTTTTGACGTTCATGTAACAGGGCCCAGACGGTCCGAAAGGATAGTAGGCTTGTGTCCCTCGCAATAGCCCATGAGGGCCCATGCGGGTGTCCATTAGGTTTCAGAGAGTCGAGCCGTCAAACAACAAAATCACTGATATGAGAAGTCCTACAAGGTAAAATTCTCATGCTCCCCACGAGCAGAATCCGAAACCCTACTCCCATCCTGTCATATTATTCGGGGATTGCTGCGTCAGTCCGTGCAGGTTGGCGTCTGATGTGTTGTATTGGGCTTTGAACTGTAGGCAGTCTTTAAGCATGCAATCATTTGCTGCACAACTTGACATATCCCTTATTCTTTCGAGATCACAACCGGAATCGCGGTCAGCCGAAGGCGTGCATTCTGCGATCGTGATGGCCCAGGCAGCCGGAACTGGAGAAGCTCCAGTTTTGATGGGGATCCTTTGTATATAGTTCAGACAAGCAACGTGAGGATAACCATCTAGGCAACAATATTCATGGCAGTCTTAGGACACCATTCCAAACCAAGCCCGATCGCCCGATCCTTTCAGAATCCTTTCTACTCTCAGA